AGTCTCTGGGTTTCTGCTTCACAAACAAATTCAAATTCTCTTCTTCGACAGAGTATATAAATTGACTGAGAGAAGTTGAATGTGAAGTTGACATCTACAAAGTCCAAGAGTGAGTAGCAAGTGTCAACATCAGGAATCCAAGGAGATTCTGTCTTTTTACACAGAAATGGCCTCGCTCTGTACTGCAGAATGGAGAAGGTCCTTTCAGGGGAACTTCATGTAAAACCCTATATGAGGTAGGGGTTTTCTGCTGCAGCCCTAAAGTGAACTGCAGCCCTTCTCTCTAACTACAGTTCTCACAAAGTTTTATAGCTTCAATGATTTCACCTGGAACAAGATTTTCCTTTTTTGATATTGTTTGCTTTGAGCTGCTGCCTGGGGCTTAGAAAAGTGACTTGGATATTTTGCCAGAATGGTATTTCTTTGCTGGAATTTGAAATCCATAAACACTCTGCTTCCCTGCTGTATCCCCAGAGCAGGTTGAGTACTTGGCACTTCTTTTGAGAATGTCACTAGACCTGGTAGAAGACTTGGAGTTAGGGCCTCCCTTGATCTCTACCCTTTCTTTAATTCAGAGGATCACAAGCTATTGTAGGAAGAATGGTGTCTCGGATCCCTTCTGATCTAATTTATATTAATATTTAATGTCCTGTAAGGAAGTCATGTGTGCACGTAACATCACTTCTGCATTCAGTGTCATGGGAGAGTGGGTTCCTGGGCCCCAGGTTAAGAGCCTAAGCACTACAGGCGTGGAGCTAGAGCTCTGGGAAGGGAGGGACGGCTGAGATAGAACCTAGTTTTGTCCTTATGTCCTGGGGCCTTTGCACTCCTCACATGGTAGGTGTTGGGTGTCTGGCAGGGGACGACGTTGATGGAGTCGAAGAAGCAAACTGGCCGAGACTGGGAGAAGCAGGGTTGGAGAAATAATTAAGGTGGACATTATATTTTCTGAGCATAAGTTATGACTTGAAATCTGGAGAGCCTGAAGGAGCATCCTACCCAAAACTGTTTTTCCCTTTTCCCGCAAGCCTTGTTTAGCCACAGGCCCAGTGCCAACACCAGGGGGCGCACACAATCCCTAAAGGCACTGCGCAGGTGGAATTCTTCGTGGTCGCTGACCTAACCAGGGGAGCCAAGACCCTGCAGCCCGGTGGCCTGGATTCAAACTTCAGCTCTGGTCCTACTGACACTTTCTCTCCTAGTGCCTCAGTTTCTTCATCTGTGAAATGGTGAGGACATTACAGCATTTACCTGTGGGGCGAGTTTGTCAACAGCGGCACTATTAACAATTTGCGACAGAGAGTCCCTTGTGGAGTGGGCTGTCCTGTGCACTGTGGGAGGTTTGCCAGGAACACCCCACTCACCCCCTCCCAGCAATCCCCATATGACAACTGAAAATATCCCAGGATTTTGAGGGGGTTTTTTTGGGTCTGGAAGCTGGACTTAGGCACTTTCCCACCTGACACTTCATCTCACCAATGAGATGGTCTGTGGGCATTATGTTTTGGTCCACATAAGGCCACTTTAAAAGAAGGATTCTGTCCATCTTTTAAAGAAATCCATTTTCTTCCTTTATCTCTGCATTCAGTTAATCCTTGCACACCCTTTCTTTAGTATATCTTGAAATGTATCAGTTCCAATTCTAGTAGCCATTCATGATAGCTGCTATGACCTCAGTACAGCTCTGATTCCTTTAGCACAGATAATGTGTTCTCAATTCTGCTCTGGATGATGTGAATCCATTTATTTGGGTTTACTTGTTTGAGATGTTGTTCCTCATCTGTCAAATGTAAATGTGGACATGGCTTGAACTACTAAGTGATTTTATTTCTTCATTCCCCTGATATTTATTGTATTCTTACTACAAGTCAGATACATGGCATGATACTGCTTCCTTGATCACACCACATCAGATGAGAAAATTAGACATTATAGCCAGCTGTGGGGGCACATGCCTGTAGTCCCAGCTACTCGGAGGGCTGAGACAGGAGAATTGCTTGAGCCCAGGAGTTTGAGGTTAGAGTGAGGTATGATATCACCAATGCATTTCAGCCTGGGCAACAGACCCTGTCCTTGAAAAAAAAGTGAAGACATGGTGAGCTGTCTACATAAACTCTGTCTCACAAGATCCATGTCCTGTAATTTTTTTAAATGACATCTCTGTGTGGTTTTCATAAATGTGCGTCTGGTATTTATTTTCTATCCTTTTACTTTCAGCTATTCTTTACCTTCTACTGAAATTATGACTTTCGTAAACAGCCTACAGTTATTTATATATTGACTTATTTTTCCCCCTCTGCACTATTTGTCTTGTCATTGGAGTGTGTGAGTCCATTATGTTTAATGTCATTGTTGGCCTCATTGGGTTTAAGTCTGTACATTGTCATTTGCTGTTTTCTAATATTATATGTTTTTCACTCAACTATCTTTCTTCTGTTGCCTTCTTTAGATGAAGAAAAATGTTTGCATTTTATTGTAGTCTTCTGAATAAGTGTTCTGGTTACAACTTCTCTTATTATTTATTTAATTATCTGAGAAAGTGCAATAATCCATGACTAAGAAGTTATTCTGGGAAGGCATTTTTTTTAATTAGAATACATTTCTTTCTTAATCTTTGTGAGTACATACACCATACTGGTGGCAATGGCGGTGAGAGCCTGTGTGTGGACCAGGGAAGCCGTGGTGTGAGTTCCATGCTAGCTCCATACGCCAGGCTCTGGGGTAGCATCCGAGATGCTCTGTATTAGATACTGACTGGTGTCATGTGCCACTGGTGAGGAGGAAGACAACGTGCTTTTCCCAAAGCGTGATGATCCTCCCAGATGATGACCCTTCTCAGGAGGCAGGAGCACTTTCCCAGAATAACTTCTTAGTCACGGATTATTGTGCTTTCTCAGATAGTTAAATAAATAATAAGAATAACCAACAGCAGACCATAACTTCCCTGACTTTCACGTACCTGTGCAGACAGCCCAGGGGACAATCAGTGCCCTGGTTCTGAGACAGCAGGTGGAAGCAGGAGAGTAACTGGATGATGAAGCTGTAGCTGCAGAGGCATCCGGGCCCCTCACCTGCACTCCTCGTACATGTCTCCTCCACTGAATGCCTGCGATGCCCTCTCCTCTGAATGTTCCTGCCAGAGTCTCCCCATCTCCACTGACAGCAGATCCACCCTTCTACTCACTCAGCCCAAAACTGTGGCTGTTCTTGATTCTTCTTTCTCACACTAGAGATGCAATCCATTAGCAAGTGCTGTGAAGTCCATCTTCAAATTCTCCTGGAATCCCATCACTTCCCACCATTTCCCCTGCTCACACTTCAGTCAAGGTAACCAGCATCTCCATCCTGGAATACTGCACTCCTTCCCCACCATTTCCCTACTGCCTCACTTTTCTCCCACTTCTCAATTCTGTTCTCAGCACAGCAACCAAAGGATAGGTCCTACCATGTCCCACTTTTCAAAGCTGTTCTCTAACTCCTCATGTCATTCAGAACAAAGGTCAAAATTCATCCCACACCCTCCAGGCCTCTCTGCTCTGGCCACACCTCTAACCTCATTTCAGTTTCTCTCTGTCCAGCCCCTCTGGCCTCTTCCTCCTTCCAGGAACACAGACACTTTCCTGCCCTGGTGCATCTGCACTGAAGGTTCTTGCCTGAAAAGAGCTTCCCCATCATCCTTGTGGACAGCTCCTCACATCCCTCAAGTCTTCACTCAAAGGTCACATTTGCAATGAGGCCCATGCTGAGCACCCAGCACAACAGCCACCTCCCTGTCCCCACAGCCCACACTCTGGATCACCTGCCCCACAGCACTTGCCATGTTCTAACTCAAGCGTTTTCCGCTCTGACTCTGTTTATACTGTATCTATCATCTGCCTACAGAGGTGTCCAATCTTTTGGCTTCCCTGGACCACACGGGAAGAAGAATTGTCTTGAGCCACACATAAAACACACTAATGACAGCTGATGAGCAGAAAAAAATAGAAACAAAAAAAAAGTATGTGCATAATTTTCATGGTATCTGCCACCACAGATAAGCAGAAACGTCCTCATATTGGAAGCTGCCCTGGGCCACATGCAGCCTGTGAGCCACAGATTGGATCAGCTTACATCTAGAACGCATACACGACAATGCTGGAAAACCTTGTTTTTACTAAAATATTTTCTAAATGCAAAAGCAGTCATGTACATAGCAGACAACAAATGTCAGTTGAATGAATGATCACTGAAGAACACCTCCCTATTCTAAAGGTAATGTCTTTATTAAAGTAGCCTCAGGCCAAATGCTGTTTTGTGGCAGCTGAAGAGCAACATCATCTCACACTGACATCAGTGCTGCCAGAGCTTTTCTCACCAGGGCTGCATGTGTGCCCTCCCTCCCTCCCTCCCTCCTCCCACAAATCCCTCCTGCACGCTGCAGCACACAACCATATTTTTCTCTTCAGGAAAGATAACCCTAGGCTTATGGGTCCAATTTTTCAACTACATATGAATCTAAATTAGACTCTGCTTTATAAATCCATGAGTTTGGATTGGAGGCAGCACTAGGATCACTACAACTCAGGCACAAAGAGTAGGAGATAGAGCAGAAGAGAGTTCCAACAGAAAGTTATCTATGATGAGAAACTATGGGAGCCCTCCTCTCTGCAAGTTTCAGAATCTGCTTCATTTTAGAAGGTTGGGGAAAATGTGGAAAATATAATCCAGGAAAGAGACCTGGAAGGAGGGCGAGAGGGACAGGGGTCTGAAAATTTGTCTCCAGATACCACAAGAACTTCTATGTATGGGGACCACCATGGGTGACACTCAAATCCCTGTGATCACAGGCTGTGGTGAGACAAGGTTCTACTGAAGGGCTAAGGACAATGGAGCAGCAAAGATGACCCAGTCAAGCTGTGACCACATAAAGCCCACAGTGACCTGAGCACCCACTGGGCACAGCCCCATCTATTCTCCACCCCCGCAACAAATCACCACAAGAAACACGTGGACAGTGGAAGTTTCTCAGGCCTTCCATTTATTTTGTCTCTCAAATTTCAGGAATCTTCTCCTTTAATTAACCCATCAATGTCTCATGGAAATAATTTCAAGAAGTAAATTACATTCAGACTCTAATTTTAATAGGAAAGTAAGAAGTTACAGCTCACTGCACCATGAAGTTGAGACAGAGATAGAGACATTCCAGCCCCAGGTCTCTGGAACAGGAAAGGTGATCAGGGAAGGAATGCAGGTCAGCATGTGGAAGGGGTCAGGGTGGACACGGGGCTGGGCTGGTCTCCCCACCTCCTCACATTATGCATATAGTGACACAGACACATTCAGATGCCTTTGCAGTAAGAGAAGTCAGGGTTCTTGATGTCCCAAATCGAAGGTGTGGATAAATCTTGCCTCTTAGTCCCACACAAGGCAGCTGTCTCACACTATAAAAAAACAAAATTCATTGACAAATTTATATCAGTCACACTTTAAACAACCCATCACCAGCTCAATACATCCAAGTCAAAGAAACCCCATAACACAGCTGTGCCCACTGTTTCCCCCAACAACCCACACACATCAGCCCCGCCCCCCGGATCTCACCCTTACAAGCCATGAGAGACACATCAGAGCCCTGGGCACTGTCGCTGCCTGGAGTAGAACAAAAACAGAACCTCTTCAGAGCCTACAGGAAACACCACTAGAGGAGGAATTGTGGTGTGGGTGAGCTCCCCCATGGGCTCCCGATCACAATATCCCAATGTTCTCAGGTATCAGCCTCCTTCATACTCACTTGCCGCCTGAGAGTAGCTTCCTCCTTTTTTATCTGTGGGAAGAAAATATCCTCTGAGGGCTCAGAAAGGTGGCAAGGCCATGAGGTCCTAGAGGAACCTCCTAGTCTTGGACCCCAGAGAAGTTCCCAGAAATGTGTGACTGCAGACTCAGGGAAGGATCAGGAAAAACAAGGAAAGCAGGTGTGGGTCCTGGACCAACTGCCCTCCTAAAAACTGTCCTCAGCAGGGATGGTCCCCTGTGACCTGTGACTGCTGGGATCAGGTCCCCATCACCACAGTCATCAAGGTGATACATCTGTCCTTCATTGTCGCAGGTGCTTTACACAAGAGTAATGCTGGCACACAGGGCCCAGGCTGGGTCGGCTCATGAGTGTGGATGCTGCTTCCCAGTAACCAGGCAGCGCACACTTCTACCTGGGGCTTGGAACACTCAGTGGGACAAGAAATCTCGGACCCCACTCCTCACCCCCTTCTCACTTGAGCTATTCTTCCTCCACATCACAGCAGCGACCACAGCTCCAGTGACTACAGCTCCAAAGACAGCCAGGCCAGAAATGATGCCCATGATGGGGTTGGTGGGATGGGGAGATGGCTCTGGGAAAGGAGGGGAAGGTGAGGGTCCCGGACTCCCAGGACCCAGCCCCTACCCTGCTGAAAGGTTGTACAGTGGCTCCTGCTTTCCTAACAGATATGACACCACATCCCCTCCTTACCCCATCTCAGGGTGAGGGGCTCGGGCAGCCCCTCGTGCTGCACATGGCATGTGTATCTCTGCTCCTCTTCAGACAGCACCAACACAGCCACCCACTTCTGGAAGTTTCCATCCCCTGTGGGCCTGGTCTCCACAGGCTCCATGTCCTGGGTCTGGTCCTCCCCATCCCTCTGCCAGGTCAGTGTGATCTCCGCAGGATAGAAGCCCAGGGCCCAGCACCTGAGGGTGGCCTCATGGTCAGAGATGGGGTGAGGGGTCACATGTGTCCTGGGGGGCTCTGAAGGGAAGAGTCAGAAAATTCAGGCACTTTGCATCTCACATGGGACACTACTGCAGCACCCACATGACCATTACGAGAATGGACAGGACACCTGGGGTGGGGAAGAAAGCACAGAACCCAGACACCAGCCTGGACACAGGCACCTGGGATAATGTCCTGTTCCTTGGAAAGTTCTAGTCTCTGAGTGGGGAACAGGGGCTTCTGGTTCTGATCTGAGTGGAGGCCAAGGGATTCAGAGGAGCTGGAGTCAGACCCCCGCACACATGGAGTGTGAGGCAGAGGACAAGGCAGGAGAAGAAAAATCCTGGTGCCCGACGCTGCTGTGGGGTCACAGGGAAGCCCTGATTAGTATTACAGGGACTGACTTCCCCTCCTTTCCCTCAGAGACTGCAACCCTTAATTGTATCAGAGAACAGGGCAGGCCCTCAGAGTCACTCTCTGGTACAGGATCTGGAAACCCAGGAGGATTCCTCTCCCTCAGGAACGGAGGGAGGGCGATATTCTAGTGTTGATCCCATTTTCCTCCCCTCCTTCTGCAAGGCCAGGCTGGGACGTCTACAGGAGATGAGGAAGGTGCCCCCTGGCTTCTGGTACCCGCACGCTGCAGCGGCTCCTTCCTGTTCTCCAGGTATCTGAGGAGCGACTCCAGGCACCTGCCCTCCAGGTAGGCTCTCATCTCCTCAGCCGCATTGGCCGCCTTCCACTTGCGCTGGGTGATCTGATCCGCCGCGTCGGCGGCCGTCCAGGAGCACAGGTCCTCGTTCAGGGAGAGGTAGTCCTTGCCGTCGTAGGCGAACTGGTTATACCCGCCAAGGAGGCGCCCGTCCGGCCCCAGGTCGCAGCCATACATCTTCTGGAAGGTGTGAGACCCTGGCCCCGCCCTTGCGTCAGCTCCGCCTATTTTCAGTTTAGGCAAAAGTCCCCTGTCCCCGCGCCACCAACCCGCGGGGATTTTTGCCTAAACTGAAAATGAAACCGGGTAAAGGCGCCCGAGTTTCTGCCGGGTCGAGGGTCTGGGCGGGTCCCGCAGCCTGGGGGTGGATCTTGGACTCGGAGACTCCCGGCGACTCGGGCTGTCCGTGGGGCGGGGAGGGGTCGTGACCAGCGCTCTGGGCCGGGGTCACTCACCGGCCTCGCTCTGATCGTAGTGGCCGCGCGGGGTCCGCAGGTTCACTCGGTGTTAATGAACTCAACACAACATGGGACATTTTAAAAAGTACAAAAATATAAGCATGATAAAAATTTGGCAAATACTTCCTTTTTATCAAGATCGATTTATATCTTCTGTAAGTTCAAGCAGAATGAAGCCCATACAGCCTCAGAAGAGGTGGCTCTCCTGAGAGAATCTTTCTTTCAGTTAAATAAGCAGAAATAGAATTTCTGGAGAAAGTAAGACTTTGGAGAACTTCACAGTACTACTTCTTGCTGTCTCAAATTTCCCAGACTTGGGGAGTGTTCACCTTCTGGGGAAAACTTAACTTTGGTCCTGTTCTTTTTTGTTCTTACTGCAAGACTAGAATTTCAGAAAACCAAGAGAAAGCATCAAGCCAAAGGAATGTACTCTCTTTTATTTTTTTTAAATATCCACTACCAAGGATGATCCACACTTTATGAGTTGAATTGTGTCCCTCGTCACCCAAAATTCATATGTTGAAATCCTATGTTGAGAAGACAGAAGTGGCCATCTACAAGACAAGAAGAGAGCCCTCAGAAGAAATCCACCCTGCAGCACCTTGACCTTGGACCTGTAGCCTCCAGAACTGTGAGGTAATACATATTTATTATGTAACTCACCCAGCCTGTGGTACTTTGTTATGGAAGTCCTACTAGCAAATTGAAACAGAAATATTACCCTTCCTATCCTGTCCTATGTACGTACATGAGATTTTTTAAGATTATGAATTACCTGGGATTCCAAAGCATAGAGAGAGTCAGTAGAAAATGGATGCTATAGGGTCAGTTCCAAGCCTCTGTGGATCTTCTGGCCACCACACAGACATGGATCTGTCCCCATTCATTTCTAGTTTCACACAAAGCAAAAGTTGTAGACCTAAACTGACATAGAATCAAAAATGGTGTTTAAGTCACTTATGATATTGAAGAAGCAATTTTTGCCAGCAAGATGGCTGAATAGGAACAACTCGGTGTGTTGTTCCCAGTGAGATCTACACAGAAGGTGGGTGATCTCTGCATTTCCAACTGAGGTAACTGGTTCATCTCATCAGGACTGGTTGGACAGTGGGTGCAGCCGAAGGACAGCAAGCCAAAGCAGGTTGGGGCATCACCTCACCTGGGAAGTGCAAGGGGCCAGGAAACTCCTTGTTTTAGCCGGGGGAACCCATTAGGACTGTCCTCTGCACCCCAGCCCAGATACTGTGCTTTTCCCATGGTCTTTACAACGAACAGAGCAGGAGATTCCCTCTGGTACCTACAATGCCAGTGCTGTGGGTTTCCAGCACAAAACTGCTTGGCCATTTGGGAAGACACTGAGCTAGCTGCAGCAGTTTTTTTTTTTTTTCTTCTCATACCCCAGTGGAGCCTAGAATGCCACTGAGACTGAACTGTTCACTCCCCTGTAAAGAGGACTGAAGCCAGGGAGCCAAGTAGTTTGGCTGGTTGGGTCCCCTTCTTCCCCCACGAACAGCAGCAAACTAAAATCCACTGGCTTGAAATTCTTGCAGCCAGCACAGCAGTCTGAGCTTGACCTGGGACATTTGAGCTCAGTGAGGAGATGGGCATCCACCATTGCTGAGTCTCTAGTAGGCAGTTTTAACATCACAGCCAGGAAGTTTGAACTGGGTGGAGCCCATGGCAGCTCAGCAAGGCCTCTGCAGGCAGACTGTCACTAGACTCCCTCCTCGCTGGGCAGAACATCTCTGAAAAAAAGGCAGAAGCCCATCAGGAACTTATAAATAAAGCCCCCATCTTCCTGGGACAGAGCACTTGGGAAAAGGGGCCAAAGAGAAAGGTTGGGTTACCCAAAAAGGTAAGCCCATCAGTGCAGAAACCCTACAAGCCAGAAGAGAGTGGGGGTCAATATTCAACATTCTTAAAGAATTTTCAACCCAGAATTTCATATCCAGCCAAACAAGCTTCATAGGAAAGGAGAAATTTATGGACAAGCAAATGCTGAGATTTTGTCACCACCAGACCTTCCTTACAGGAGTTCCTGAAGGAAGCACTAAACATGAAAAGGAACTACTGGTATCAACCACCATAAAAACATACCAAACTATAGAGACCATTGATGCTGTGAAAAATCTGCATCAACTAATGGGCAAAATAACCAGCAAGCATCATAATGACAAAACGCATAACAATATTAACCTTCAATGTAAATTGTAAATGGTCTAAATGCCCCAATTAAAAGACACAGACTGGCAAATTGAATAGAGTCAAGACCCATCAGTGTGCTATATTCGGGAGACCCACCTGATGTGCAAAGATGCACATAGGCTCAAAATAAAGAGATGAAGGAAGATTTACTAAGCAAATTGAAAGCAAAAAAAAAAAAAAAAAAAAAGCAGAGGTTGCAATCCTAGTTTCTGATAAAACAGACTTTAAACCAACAAAGATCAAATGAGGCAAAGAAGGACATTACATAATGCTAAAGGGATTGATGCAACAAGAAGAGTTAATTATCCTAAATATATATGCACCCAATACAGGAGCACCCAGCTTCAAAAAGCAAGTTTTTGGAGACCTACAAAGAGATTAGACTCCCACACAATAATGGGAGAATTTAACACCCCACTGTCAATATTAGAGTGATCAACAAGACAGAAAATGAACAAGGAAATCTGGGACTTGAACTCAGCTCTGGACCGAGCAGAGTTAATAGACAGCTACAGAACTCTCCACCCCAAATCAACGGAATATACATTCTTCTTAGCACCGCATCTCACTTATTCTAAAATTCACCACATAATTGGAAGTAAAATACTTCTCAGCAAATGCAAAATAATGGAAATCATAACAAACAGTCTCTCAGACCACAGTGCAATTAAATTAGAACTCAGGATTAAGAAACTTACTCAAAAATTCACAACTACATGGAAACCGAACAACCTCCTCCTGAAAGACTACTGGGTAAATAATGAAATGAAGTTAAAAAACAATGTTATTCAAAACCAATGAGAATGAAGACACAATATACCAGAACTTCTGGGACACATTCAAAGCAGTGTGTAGGGGGATATTTATAGCACTGAGTGCCCACAAGAGAATGGAAGAAAGATCTAAAATTTACACCCTAATATCACAATTAAAAGAACTAAAGGAGCAATAGCAAACAAATTCAAAAGCTAGTAGAAGACAAGAAATAACTAAGATCTGGGCAGAACTGAAGAAAATAGAAACATGAAAACCCCTTCAAAAAAAAACCCAAAGAATCCAGGAGTTGTTTTTTTGAAAAAATTAACAAAATAGATAGAACACCAGCCAGACTAATAAAGAAGAAAAGAGAAGAATCAAATAGATGCAATAAAAAAATGATAAGATATCACCACCCATCCCACAGAAATACAAACTTCCATCAGAGAATACTATAAACAAATCTATGCAAATTAACTACAATATCTAGAAAAATAAATAAAATCCTGGAAACATACAGCCTCCAAGACTAAACCAGGAAGAAGTAAAATTCCTAAATAGACCAATAACAAGCTCTGAAATTGAGGAAGAGATTAATAGGCTGCCAATAAAAAAAACTTCCTGGACCAGACAGATTCACAGCTGAATTCTACCAGAGGTACAAAGAGGAGCTGGTATCATTCCTTCTGAAACTATCCCATAAAAAGAGGGAATCCTCCCTAACTCATTTTATGCCACAAACATCATCCTAATACCAAAACCTGGCAGAGACTCAACTAAAGAAAGTTTCAGGCCAGTATCCATGATGAACATCAATGTGAAAATCCTCAATAAAATACTGGCAAACTGAATCTAACAGCATATCAAAAAGCTTATCCATTATGATCAAGTTGGCTTTATTCCTGGGATGCAAGCCTAGTTCAAAATATGCAAATCAATAAATGTAATCTACCTCATAAACAGAACCAAAGACAAAAAACACCTCATTATCTCAATGAATGCAGAGAAGACCTTCAACAGAATTCAACAGCCCTTCAGGCTAAAAATTCTAAACAAACTAGGTACTGATGAAACGTATCTCAAAATAAGAGCTATTTATGACAAATTCACAGCCAATATCATACTGAATGGGCAAAGACTGGAAGTTTTACCTTTGAAAACTGGCACAAGACAAAAATGCCCTGTCACCATTCCTATTCAACATAGTATTGGAAGTTCTGGCCAGGGCAATCAGGCAAGAAAAAGAAATAAACTATATTCAGTAAGGAAAAGAGAAAGTCAAATTGTCTCTATTTACAGACGACATGATTGTATATTTAGAAGAAAACTTCATCTCAGCCCCAAATCTCCTTAAGCTGATAAGCAGCTTCAGCAAAATCTCAGGATACAAAATCAATGTGCAAAATCACAAGCATTCCTATACACCAGTAACAGACAAACAGAGAGCCAATTCATGAGTGAACTCCTATTCACAATTGCCACAAAGAGAATTAAATACCTAGAAGTACAACTTACAAGGGATATGAAGGACCTGTTCAAGGAAAACTATATATCACTGCTTATGGAAATAAGAGAAGACACAAACAAATGGAAAAACATTCCATACTTATGGATAGGAAGAATCAATATTTTGAAAATGGCCATACTGCCCAAAGTAATTTATAGATTCAATGTTATTCCCATCAAGTTACCATTGACTTTCTTCACGGAATTGGAAAAAAAAACAACACCTTAAATTTCATATGAAACCAAAAGAGCCCACATAGCCAAGACAATCTTAAGCAAAAACAAACAAAAAAACCCAAAGCTGGAGGCATCCCGCTACCTGATTTTAAACCATGCTACAAGGCTACAACAATCAAAACAGCATGGTACTGGTACCAAAACAGAGATATAAACAAATGGAACAGAATAGAGGCCTCAGAAATAATACCATATATCTACAATCATCTGATTTTCAACAAACCTGACAAAAACAAGCAATGGGGAAAAGATTTTCTATTGAATAAATGGTGTCGGTAAAACTGGCTAGCCATATGCAGAAAGCTGAACCTGGACCCCTTACTTACACCTTATACAAAAATTAACTCAAGGTAGATTAAAGATTTAAAAGTGAGGCCTAAAACCATCAAAACCCTAGAAGAAAACCTATGCAATACCATTCAGGATATAGGCATGGGCAGAAACTTAATGACTAAAACACCAAAAGCAGTGGCAACAAAATCCAAAACTGACGAATGTGTTTCTAATTGTACTAAAGAGCTTCTGCACATCAAAAGAAACTATCATTAGAGTGAACAGGCAACGTACAGAAGGGAGAAAA